AAAAAAAAAATTGATCAAAAGAAAAATGTTACTCGAGTCATGAGCAAATCACTCTACATCGCCTACTCGTTCCATCATTAATTTGTCAAGTAATATCTTAGCCGATAAACTGTTGTAAAATGCAACGAACAAAGCCTATCTTGAAACTACTTGAAAATGCTAAGCTAGCTTTTAGCTTAATTGACTTTACTGCCAGTAATTCAAATCACAATCACTGTTCGCAAACGTTACGTAAGTGGATATAAATGATTTGATTAAAGTTCAAAAATAACAAAAAGCCAAGCGCTGAACGAAGCCGAGGATTTTAAAGTCTTATTGAACATTGAAAGAGGGAACATTTGTGGTGCCGTATATCTGGATCTTACAAAGGCGTTCGATACAGTCGATCATGAGATCTTGATGCCCAAACTGTCATCAGTTGGAGTCTCCCCCGGTCTTTGGAGTGGTTCTCCGTGTATCTGAGTAATCGGAAATAGCAAACCTCTTGCGAGAATGAATTATCCGAAGCTCTTCCCGTTACCTTCGGGGTTCCACAAGGAAACATCTTGGGACCGTTATTGTTCATGATGTATATCAACGAGCTAACTGCTGCTATTGAACACTCCGAGGTATCATTGTATGCTGACGATACTGTTCTTTAATGCTTCGCAAAAGAACCTCACCTGCTGGAACAACGTAAAAGCGAGCAAAATTACATTGAACCTTTCAAAGACCAACTCCCTGTTAATCGGAAGCAATAGAAAACTTAATTAATATTTCCTGATTGTCTCTATCTATTTTCGATTGTGAGTTAAATAGCGTAAATAGGTTAAAATATTTAGGGTTATGTTGGCCTGTAATATGTATTTCTTAAGTTAATCAACGGTCGGTCTTTTACGTAGGATCAAGATGTGTTACTCTTTACCGCTCGCCAACTTTTCTATAGCAGTCTTGTTTTATCAGTTCATGATTATGCTGATTTGGTGTGGGGTGACAAAAACAATGTGACTCTTATGAATAACCTGCAGGTTTTGCAGAACAAGTTCGCTGAAATTAACCTAAACAGGCTACTTTATAGGTCTTTATTCGTTAGCTACTGATGCCCTAGTAACTTTAAAGTGGCTCAACCTCCGATCAACGGTTGATTTTATCATAGTTGTATATATGTTTACAAGCGTATTAATGGCTTTGTGGATCACACTATGGAGCTACCAGCAAACAGGGACGTTCATAATTACCCGGGGGGACTCCCATATAAAACTGACGGAGATGCTCGTCCTCTCGCTTTGGGGTGTAAATTGCAGATTTTGGTCTCACTTAAGGTGTTTGGGATGGAAAGTCACTATATATATATTTGCCCCATTCAAGTATCGCTTAGTACTGTGCATAAAGAAATTCAAAAAAGATGCCCTGACAGTGACAAAACAGAGATCTCCCTTCGGGATCTGTTTAAGCTTGAGCCACACCCATATTGGTCTCCCTTAGTGGTTTAATTTCAATTGTCCGACGAGTATCCTCCTCACCTTTCTACAAAATGTGAAACATCAGGCCTCCCAGCGCTGGACTAAGAGTTGAAGAAGGGAACTAACACAAATGATTTATAATTATTATTCATTCAAAATATTTCCTCGATTCTGATTGGCTAAAAGCACACGCATAATTCGCCATAACCAACTACTGATGTCCAAAATTGGGAGAATCATAACCAGAAATCGGCGACATTTTGCGCCCGCGAAGTATTTGGCACGCGGTTTAAAATTATCAAGATGGCGGCATAAAGAAAGCAGTACGTAGAAAAAACAAGGACTGAAATGACACACTATCAAGGGATCTGAATCAATTTAATTTCTTTTTTGAGGTAGTCAATACAAGGGAGAATGAAAAAGGGGAAACTAGAGTCCGGGTTCCTGTTCGAATGACGATTTTAGAGAGAAGAAACAACTTCGTTTCATGCGTGACTTGGCAGAGTAAAAATAATTTTCAAAAATCAGGGCCCACAGTACACTTAGCCAGCGATATTCTGTATAATAATAATCATATATAAAGTACTTACCTGTAAAGATGGCGAGCAAAACAAACTAGAGACAGAAACCCTACTTTTCACAAGGAATAATAAGCGCAGTGGTGCGTTTTGTACCGCTTTTATCGCAGAAATGGATGTATTTTTACCTCTTTTATCGCAAATTTTGCGGCCATTTGGGGAATGGATCAAGGCTGATTTTTATCAGGTTTTAAAGCTTGAACATCGACCGATGATTAGAGAGGTCGGCACCAAGGATTCACATCAACGAAATGTTCTAAACTGTGGAGAGAAGGTAGGCACCTTACACTTTACATTTAGAGGTCGGCAAATGTCGTGTGTGCTACTTCAGATCTGAAATTTCCACTTCTTTAATTTTCTCCATACATTTCTCTATAACGATCAGCGGCAATTCTTAGAGAGCGGAAGGTCTGGGTCGAGTCTGGGCGTCCGCCATTTTGTCTAAAATTTCTGGTAATGATTTTGCGATTAATCAACCGATGACGTCAAAAGTGCAGCTTCCTTGCAGGTAAATGCACCTTTAACCGAGAAGACCTGGGGACGAGGTTGAGTTGTTTTGGTTGTGAACACAAAAATGGCGGACATTTCACTCGTTTCAAGAGTAAGAACTAGGCGAAATAATAGCTCAAAACATGGCAAGAACAGCAAGAAGACAACTCGAAGGGCGACATCTGCTATTTGGAGAATATTTGCGTAGCTTAACAACCCTAAACGTGCACTATCGAAGATGAACTTAACATCGATGGAGGCAAGCATGTTTTAGCTATGATTTTAAATTAAGAATTATTTTGAATGAATAATAAAACAGTTATTGAATTGGGCTTTCGTATCATATGAACAATTATGGAGATCTCGGAGGGTGTTATTCGCCTCGGCCAACACCTTCCTCGATCTCCATAATTCTTCATAAGATACTCAGTCTCCTTCATTAATTGTCAAATTAGTACAATACCGTAAACTGCCGCTTATAAGACATGGGATTGCATTAACTGGTTTTAATTAAGCTTCAAAACCTCATAATAAATCGAATTAATTTTAATTCATTTGGAGGGGGGCTTATACGGCTTAGAAAGGGATGTATATTTTTGTTGTAGTTAAGTGCAGAAAAAGGATAACTTAACATTGTGTATGCCTTTAAGGCATTTATTTCTTGCTAATACGTTTTTTACTCCTTTATTTTGTCCTAACGTGTTAAGTCTCTCGAAGGATTACCCTGCATTGCAGGCATTTTCGTTGGGTACGCGAGTGTTTTTGTCTGGAGTGCACAATCACCGTGTCGACACCGCTATATTCAACTGCAAAAAAAGCGGAAAAGTTGGGGCGAATCAAAGGGATAAGGGGAGGGGGCGGGGAGAGAGAAGAAAATAACTTTTTCTCCCCTCCCCGTCCCCTGTCTTCTTCTTTTACACTAACGCCTACCCCTGGGGCTGCTATTTCTACTCTCTCTTGTCTCACGAACAAAAACAAGCCGCTATTCTTGGGAAAACACGCACAAAAGCCTAAATCAGCATCAATGCACTTCCTAAGGGGCTGTCCACACTTGATGCTCGGGAACCAGTGCCTGGGTATTAGCACAAAATGGTGCTGCGTTCACACGATGAGTTCCCGATATGTGACTGTGTACATACGTAGTTACTCCATTTCGCCCTGTCAGACGCCATTTTGAAACATGCGCTTAGCAGCGAGAACATAGCAGTTGATGACCCACCGGAACTTACAAAAATTGTGTGCACACAGGAACCCGGTGCCCACTTTTGTGCGCGAGTACAAGGTCGAGACCTTGTATTCGGACACCGGCACCGTGCCCGAATTCTAGGGTGGGCACTTGAAAAAGGGTGTGTTCACATTAGGGCCCAGCGAGTACTGTACTCGGGCACCAAGGGTGAACACTGCCTAACCTTCTCGCAGCGTGGCCCGGTGGAATTCAAGGCATACCCACAGACCTTTTCTCTTAGTTTAAAGAGCAGCCTGCTTGATTATTCAGCCAGTTCTAGTAAAGTTAAGCTCTGTGCACCCTCGTTAGCAGTTTTCGTTTTTCAGTTCCATCACTGCGCCCTGTATGACTCAAATTCCAGCTACTCATTTGACAGAATATGTCCATGCAGTTTTAGCCCTCCACAGCTACAAGACAAATAGCTTGCCGTACAGCCACATGCCAGCAACTCGAACTTCATTCATAACAATGTGGCCTGATATTTAGGGACCTTAACGTTTTACGGCCGGAGAAATTCCCAACCACTTCCCTCGTTAAGATAAGATATTTTTCAAGGTTTGTGGCGCTAAATTTGAGCACTAGCAAGATCATTAGATTTTTTTTTCCACTCGAGATCTCGACTATTTTAGATTCCATATTACAGTTCAGCTACAACCCATTGTTCGATTACATGCCAGGAATAGAACATATTTTTTGGGAAATAGCATTACTGCGCTTTTGACAAACATGCGAACTCTAAAGTTCATAAGCCGCCTTCACAATTGTGTTTTTCGCTGCCGTCAATCATAATTTCGATCACAAGCAACGAACCTTGAAACACAGAAACACACAAAACGGATCGAGGTCCACCAATCACAAATCACAAACCATGACCTTTTGAACCCGTTAAAGTAAAGTTTTGTTTCCTAACAGGTCCGTTAACATGATTGACGGCAGCGAAAAACGCAATCGTCAGTTGACTTTTAACTTCAAAATTCGCATGTTTGTGAAAAGCGCAGTAATCTAGGCCAACAAACGTGATTGGCTCTCTTCCCTTGCGTTCGGAAATTCATTAGAATTTAGCTCAATTTGCAAGTGAAACTTGATCATGGGTGACAATTAACGCTCTCAAAAGAATGTTTTTTTTTACATGGTTATCTTATCGAGAACTCTACGTACTGAGAAGTTTAGAGTATAAATTTTGGCTTAAGTTTAAACTTTTCTGAATTTTTTTACAAAATAATCTTCGTGCTGTTAAATATTGTGTTTTTTCGTGAGTTTGTTTTTTTATGACGTCTTTTAACGTCCTGACATCTTCATTCACCTTGACACCATCTCGGCACTGAGAAACACAGAACGTTGCCATAGCAATTCTGTAATTTCAAATGTGAAAATATAAATTGACACCGAAATTTCGGGCTAAAATCAAGGAGTAATTTGTCACCCTTGACATTAATGTGCATGCAGATTGGCAGTAATATGAAATCAATCTTCATCTTCACTTGGCTCATCATAATGTTTAAACTGAGTTGCTAAAATATCACAAAACTGACTTGCAAAAAGAACATCAAGATGAAAGTGACGCGTTAACTAAATCGAAACATGCTTTCAAAGGTAAATTTAATTAAGTAAATGGAGGTTAATTAATTAAAGTTAATTGACTTTGTAAATATTTCCGCACTTAATAGCAGTCACTTCAAAGCGAAATATATAGATGTATATAATGTGATACTTTGATTGGGTTATAGTTGATTTAGATTTTTTAGTCGTTACAAACTGTTAAATGCATTTGTCTGTCTCATACTGTATCAATTCACATTAATTATTTGTCTAATTGCCAACGCTGAGAAGCCTAATGCGTCGCATTTGGTATTCCTCATGCATGCTCTCCAACGAAAGTTCAGCAGCTCTACACCGGCGTCACGCCGATTAAACTAAGACAACGCGAAACTCCCTTAATCATGCCAGCGGGCACCTTAAAAAATTCAACAAACAAAATTCAACAACATACAAATTCCTGCTGTCACATACGTTGCTGACCCTTCGAGTTAGTCAATATATAAGGGATTTTCACCCTTTTTTCATTTGCACGCCACACAACATTTAGCTATATTTTCCGGCACTTTTTCAAAAAAGGAAGCTAATGTAAAACACTAAAACAAAGCTAACCGCCATAAACGCCGACTACTTTTGTCGGAAATTACCCTTGCTACTCAATTCTGCCGCTAAAAAACAGAGGAAAAAGCGTTATAAGCGTTTGACATTAATTTGTATTTTTTCAATTGCCTTCTTTAGGGCTACTTTTCTTTTTTCCGCGTTTTTTTGCTTAGTTCTTCGTTTGTTTGATTGTTTGAAATAGCTATCACTTTTCGGAAAATCAGATGGAAACCCAATCAAAGATCAAGGTAGTTGCATTTAAGGCTAATAGCTTGATGAAGACGGCACACCGAACGTCGGAAAACGCAAATGCTTTGAATTCTTAAAAGCCCTTAACACGCAACTTTTGACATTAGATACATGAGAAACCCAGCCATCTTAAAGCAAAAGGAGAAAGAAAGCAAGAAAGTTCAAAAAGAGAACTTTTAGTCAATTTAGTGAACATTTCTCACACGTTACGAACGGAATCCAGAACCCAAACTGAAGAGCTAGCCGTCATGAATTCTACTGAACTGATGCAACACGAATGCCCGATCTATGTTATCTTAGGGGGAAGACTAGAACAGTCTTCTCTCTTTGTTCGAGTTTGCCTTATTTTGAACATTATCATCAATATTTTCACCTTTCCTTTCACTGCTGTCTTGAACGCGTTGGTGATAATCGCCGTAAAAACTAAACGACGACTGAGGGCCCACAAGTCCAATATCGCGATCGCTCTGCTAGCTACAACTGATTTTGTAGCCGGAAGTTTTGCTCAGCCCACATTCATCACTTGGTTAATATTAATCTTTGTCAACTACAACAGTGATTTATGCCCATTTCTAGCGTTTCGCTTCCTGATAAACATGCTTTTCGGCGTGTCGATTCTTCATCTGTTGATGATAAGTGGAGAGCGGTTTTTAGCCATCAAGCATCCATTTGCGCACATTTCTCTTGTCAAAGAAAGTAATCTGGTCATTGCCTCTGCCTTGGCTTGGCTGTTGCCCTCAGTTGTTAACGTTTATTTTTTCCTTACTGGAAATATGATTGCGTTTGTTCTTGTCGATAATTCTGTCATTTTAACATCAGTTGCCTGCATAGGTTACTGTCATTTTAAAGTTTACTTTGAAACTCGAAGACATAAACGACAAATTGCAGATCAACAAGTTACACAAGAGACAAGGAAAAAATTTTTAAAGGATCAAAGGGCCTTTAAGGTTACATCTCTGATTATAGCGATGATACTGCTATACTCTTTACCAACGACTCTTGTTAGACTAGTGACAACCATGTTTCCAAGTCTACTATCATTGGAACAGAAACATGGGCTTTTCTTTTCAGTTACGGCGATGAGTTTGTTAAACTCTTTTATTAATCCAATTATTTACACTGTCCGATTAAGGGAGTTCCGCGTCGCTTTTATCGACAAGATAACGTGTGGAACTGCAACTCTCGGTGAAGCTGAAGAAAACGAAATGCGAAACATCAGGCCTCCCGGCGCTGGGCTTAGAGTTCAAGAGGGGAATTGAAATAACACAAATGATTCATAAATTAATACAATGCCGTAAACTGTCGCTTATAAGACATGGGATTGCATTGACTGGTTTTAATTAGGCTTCAAAACGTCATAATAAACCGAATTCATTTCAATTCATTTGGAGGGGGGCTCATACGGCTTATAATCGGATGCATTTTTTCCCGTTAAGTGCAGAAAAAGGATAACTAACATTGTGTATGCCTTTAAGGCATCTATTTCTTGCTAATACATTCATTTTACTCCTTCATTTTGCCCTAACGAGTAAAGTCTCTTAGAGGATTACCCTGCATTGCAGGCATTTTCGTTGGGTGCGCGAGTGTTATTGTCTGCACTGATAATCCACGTGTCGACACCGCCATATTCAACTGCAAAAAAACGGACAAGTTGGGGCGAATAAAAGGGAGAGGGGGAGGGGGCGGAAAGAGAAAACAAAAAAAAACTTTTCCTCCCCTCCCCACCCCTGTCTCCTTCTATTACACTAACGCCTACCCCTCGGGTTGCTATTTCTACTCTCCCCAGTCTTACGAACAAAAACAAGCCGCTATTCTGGGAAAAACACGCACAAAAGCCTAAATTAGCATCAATGCACTTCGTAAGGGGTTGTCGACACTTGGTGCCGGGGAACCAGCGCCTGGTTACCGGCAAAAAATGGTGCTGTGTTCACTCTTTGAATACCCGATATGTGACTGTGTACATAGTTACTCTATTTTGCCCTATCAGACGCCATTTTGAAACGTGCACTTAGCAGCGAGAACAAAGTTGACTGCCGGGAACTTACAAAAATTGTGTGCTCACAGGGACCCGGTGCCCACTTTTGTGCCCGAGTACAAAGTCGAGACCTTGTATTCGGGCACCGGCACCGTGCCCGAAATCTAGCAAGGGTGTGTTCACATTAGTGCCCAGCGAGTATCGCACTCAGGTACCGAGCTCGGCACCTCATTAGTGTGAACGCCCTAACATTGTCAACCTGGCCCGGGATAATACACGGCATACCCACTTACCTTGTCCCTCAGTTTAAAGAGCAGCCTGCTTGATTATTCAGCCAGTTCTAGTAAAGTTAAGTTCTGTGCACCCTCGCTAGCAGTTCTCGCTTTTCAATTCCATCGCTGCGCCCCGTATGACTCAAATTCCAGCTCATTTGACAGAATATGTCCATGCAGTTTTTAGGCCTCCACAGCTACAAGACAAATAACTTGCCATACAGCCAGATGCCAGCAACTCCAACTTCATTCATAATAATGTGACCTGATATTTAGGGACCCTAACGTTTTTACGGCCGGGGAGATTTCCAACCACCTCCCTCGCTGGGGTAGGAAATTTTTTAAGGTTTCTGGCGCTAAATTTGAGCACTAGCAAGATCATTAGTTTTTTTTTCACTCGAGATCTCGACTCTTTCGGTATCTTTCCCAGTTCTTTTTTTTAACTCTTGGGTAATTTATGCCGCTTGTGTTTGTTTTTAGAGCTTCATATTTCGAATGAACTGTTGATGTGTTGCGGCATTACTGTAAATGCATGATTTCTATTACCTGTTTCTTCGATATTTGCGTACACATCTAATGAGTTGCTTAGTTTTTATAGCATACCGTTTAGTGCTGGTTCCATATTTTTCCACACAACCACCCTTCTTCCTAGCCTTTGTAAGTGACGGGTGCCGTGAATCATGGTCATCGAGGAGTGGGGGCCGAGAGCCGATTTTCCCATACATGCATTTTGGCTCATTTGGCTTTGTATGCGAGTGTTCCGGGTGAGAATATATTACTTTCGCTCGCTAAAAAATACCCCTACATTGCAAGTTATTCGAGGATTCGTAGTGCAGAGTTAGCAATGATTTCTTTGCCGCTTTTCCTTCATCGAGGAGTCTAAGGTCTCTCATGTCACCCTTCAGTGGTTTCCTATGGTTTTCTCTTTGCTTTATCAGAAATGGATCATGACCTTTGCAATTGTTAATAGGTGCGGTTACACACACCACGGTAAAGGCATTTCCCACGGTAACAAAGCCGTGGTAAATTTTAACGTGGGTTTAGTTTACCGTGGTAACACATGATGTGGTTACACATGAATTAACTCCCAAGTTAATTTAACCGCTTTTACGGTTTCATTCGTTATTGCGGTAATAATCACCGCCGATGATGGCACTATTTCATGTTATGTTGAAAATTTTACGTAGAGTTTAGCTGAAATTTCAATTGGCATGTTAGTCCTGATAATTTAGGCGAAGGTACAGACCATTTTTTTTTAAATCTTGACCTTAGATTCCATTTTACAGTCCAGCTACAACCCATTGTTTGATTACATGCCAGGAATAGAACATATTTTTTTGGCAAATATCGTTCCTAAATCCCGCCCAACAAACCTGATTGGCTCTCTTGCCTTGGGTTCGCAAACCCTCGCTATTTACCACGTTAAATGTCATGGGTGGTTGCTTTCTTCTTTTTGACGTAACCGTGGATATTTCCCGAGGTAAATTTATCTAGAGAAAGTCCCGTCACACGCTCCACGGACATTTACCGCGGTAAAATTGTCCCGTGTATAAACCGCACCTAATATTTTCACTCAATTTGGTGGCAGTCCCCTTTGTTTGAATTTTGATAAATTTTGTGGCACAGTTCCTTTAAGGTTTAGCTATAGGATGACAGACCTCCTTCTTGAATTAAAGCTGGATTACAATAATATTCACAAATGTATTAAACATTTAATTCTAAATATACATTTACATTTTTTAACAAATAAGCTGCTTCTGGAAAAGCATCAATTACGGAACCGTTTGTAACTGATTCCAAGGGATTTTCAAGATGAAAGAGAAACATAGTCTTCACCCCACATTGTTGTTTTGTTGGTCTTCTATAAACTGTTTTAAAGTTGCTGAGTCCACAGGAATGTAGAGATATTCCACACCATCGCCACCCTGAGGATAAGACTACATTTCAGTCACTGTAAAGTGAGTAGTACAACACACAATACGTATAATTCAGTAACTTTCACTAGAGACTTGAATATTACTTTGGCCATGTTCACATGCATTTGATGCACAAAATGGTGCTGTGTTCTCAAAAAAAATGTTGAAATCTTTGTGTTCGTGTTTAATCGAATGACACAGAAAAGTCTGAATCTGTTTTACTGGCTTTACGTACTATAGGGTACGCACATCGTAGTATTGTTTGAAATTATGTATTTCCTCTGCACGTACTCAATTAAAACGAAACTATTATCAACGATTTGTCTGGGACTTTCTGAAAATCTCAAAAAAATAATTCCTAGCAAGAAAAGGCAATCTGTCCTAATCGCAAAAACTAGTTCCCACAAAACACAAAAAATTGCCAATCCGCAAAAATAAACTCCGGCAAATATTTCGAGCCACATGATCAATGAGATGTAAACGTGAACACATTTGCTCAATTTCGCCATATCGGACGCCATTTGGTATAGTAAACAGAGCAAGAAGTTATGGGTATGCAAAGACGTGTGCACATGGATACCTAGGGCCCAATTCAAGTGTCCGAGTACAAGGTCTCTGAGACCGGCACCGTGCGCAAATTCTGGCGCGGGTACTTGATAAAACGGTGTTGTCACATTAGTGCCCAACCACAAGGAAGTACTGTACTCGCGAGGACACCGCGCGTCCCCAGGCACCAAGTTCCAAGAAAGTGACATGCACTGAAAACTGCTGATGGGTACTCCGCTACATCCGCTATTTAGGTATACGCCGCCCAAAAAGGTTTGGTCTTTTGTTTGCTGTTCTTTTGGTCAGAAAACCGGTATAGATTTTGCTCATTATGGTCTGAAATCAGGTTTGGTTTTGAAAGGAACCACCACAACGTATAACCCTATTTTGATTTTCAGTTTTAAATAAATAAGAAATAAAAAGTTCAGTTTCAAATATTATTACAAAGTAATACGGTAATACTTAAACAGTATGTTGACTTCACTAGGACGAGGTAATGGGTTCGCACATGCGTAAACTTTCAGCAGCCAGGGGCCTGTTTCTCTAAAGCTGCTACGTGTTTGCCGCGTTTAAATTCAAGATCAAAATATTTCAATAATTTTGAAAATGACAAAATGAAACTGTCAGTAAACGAAGCAAAATTGACCGGTTTACGGAGTTAAGAATTCTGCTACTATTCAATAGGTTTGGATTTGCTACTTTGCCTTCGGGTCCGAAGAGTTTCCGGGTCTTTCGAGGAACGAGACCCTGGTCTGAAAATGAGTATAGATTTTAGAGACCAGGGCCCGGTTTTTCCTCGATAGATGGTCAAGGTAAACCAGAATTAGTCCAAAATAATTGTAATGACGGTTTTCTTGTCTAAGGATATAAAACTCAAGCTTACAAAATACTGTTGAGCCTTAATTCCAAAATACAGTCACGGTAATGATAAAACAAAATGTTACTCTAAGTAATACATAGGAAAGTAAAATACAAAAACGAAACAAAATTTTAATCCTGGATCACCGCTAATCGGGCTTTCAAGAACCGTGCCCAGATGCGGCCCGTTTCGCGAAAGTCCCCGTTACTTCTTTCGGGCCCGAAATCAACTTTTCCAATCAACAAAGACCACCTCGACAAACCAGTCCATTTGTTTTTGTTAATTGATGGTTTATGATATCTGAAAAAACTGTTGAAACCTTGATCTTGAATATAGATAGTAACAGCATTGCGGGCTTGTAGTTATCGGGACTTTCGAGAAACGGCTCCTACGACTGAAAAAGGTTATGAAAAATGGAGGATTGCCTCTCCCCCTGGGGTGAAAACACTACAACTGTACTGATTTACTCACCTTTTTGGAAGTTATAAGTTTATGATCGCGGAATTCTATTAGCTGAGCTTTCAGTGTCGACTCACTGTTGACCAAAAACTGTTCCCGGCATTTGGAGTAGCAAGAATTAAATGACATACCTGAACAAAAACAAGACGACAATAAAACTTCGCCACGCTCTCCTCGCGTGTTACGCGTGCCACTGTACTACAGTATAAGTATAAGGTTAAGTAAAGGATAAGTAGCTTTCTAAAATTGATAAGTTTCAGAAGAGAGCAGTTTGTTTTGGCTTTCTCTAGGAGACCACGCCAATTTTAAGACTTCTAGAGGCCTCAGACAATAACGGAATAATGGAAGAGCCTCACAAATTCTACTGATACTGAAGGCCCTTTGGCAGATCTCCTTCCACCCAGTAGAACAAGGTTGCTAAGGAATCGTGGTCACTCCTATGTACTTCCTCAAATTATTGTTTTATTAATAGGAGTCTTTTCAATTTTACCTGATTGTCAATTGTAATCGGGAACGATTGTTTTTAGGAATCAATAAAGAGCTTATTTATCTTTTTATTCATTTATTTACTTGAAATTTGAAAAAAAATAGTAATAACATACTCCTCACGATCTAGAGAACTATTCACAAACTTCTCACCTATATAACTATTGTTATCCTTCTCCTCAAGCTGATGTCCCGCTATCAGGATAAAAATCCCGCGGGCATTAGGTGTTAAACTGCGGAACACATGAACCAATGAGCTCAAGGCCAGCGCGCCAGTGTGTTGCACAAGTAAAGAATTTTCATACGACGTCTCTTCCTTATAAGGCTCAAATGACGTCACATCAAACCACGACCAGTTAAAACGGCCCAACTGAGTGTGATTCCAAACTGAAAGATAATTAACAGAAACAGAAGTTACACGTCCATCGTCCACACTAAGTGTTGTAACGGTATAGTACCAGAGGATAATCGTCACCCCAACATGTTAGACCATGACCAGCCTCTTTTTTTGTTAGTTGGTTGAGCAAAACGGGCGAGACACGAAAACCCTCGTTTCTCGCGCCTCGCGCTAGCGCGCGCGTGCACTCCCCTCACTAAATCTAAAGCAAAAGAGATACTGTTTGTAGTCTACCTACAAGTCGGTCGCGGTCGCCTACTAAAGGTTCGAGCTATAGGGCTTTGACAGGGAAAATTCTGTTGTCCTGGATAGGAGGTCGCTTATAGCTGGTCGCACATGGAGGTTCAACCTCATAATCCAGTACTTACTAAGAGGCGCATTGATGTGGTCAATACTGGCAATAATATGAAGGTTATCTACTTCTGCAAGGAGGCTAAGGAGCGTCTGAGTCTGAAACAGAGAAAATATTCATTTTCTTCTTGTAGTTCAATTTTATCCTTGGTGCAACTTTTATCTTAGCCTGCGTAGCAGGCGCTAGGAAATAAATGGACACAAGAAAAAACGCGCGCGAGGGAGACACGCGTGTCTCCCTCGCGCGCGTTTTTTCTTGTGCCCATTTATTTACTAGCGCCTGCTACGCAGGCTACTTTTATCTTCCTTTGATTTAAAGCAATCATTATACACCGCTAAACTTGCTCAGCGATGACTATAGCAATTTTTAGCGAAGAGCCTCTGTCCACACTTCTAACGTGTCTTCGTTTGAAAAAAGTGAACATATATTTCTTTTGGTCTTTGCTCAAAGTCAAAGCTAAAAACGATCACAACCGGCGGTTCTTAGACTGGGACGACAGGGCTCATTGTTGATGAAAAAAGGCGATTAACGACGCGCACAAAATCGATAAGCTCCCTTCTCAACTGTCCGCTCGTTTAGCGCTTGCCCTGTTATTCGCCCTTTCCCCCACCTATGGAGCCTGATGCCAGGCTAGGTGGTTCTTGAAGATGCAGACTTCGTAGAAACTCATCAGTCACGTGTTCAAGCTTTAAATTGGCGGAAGTAGACGAGAGTATTGCAAGCGCTATTAAAGCCAGAACACGAAGAAATTCACACGTCCAAGAATAGCTTAGAAACGAAAAATAATATATCGGTTTGTATGCGCCTTGCGGACTGCTTTGAAGTGCGGAAATTGGTAGAAAACGACGCATAAACGCAAGTGTGGACGCTAAAATTTTGAAGCATATTTGTTAACACGAAAAAGGAGGTTTTCGAAAAAGGATTAATGCAGACAGGGCCTATTTTCCAATAAACTTTTAGGATAGGAGAAGCAGACAGTCGCACTAAGTGTTTTCTTGATATCATGATACAAAAGCAAAAGGAGGCCGAGAAATAAAGTTTTTACAGAATGGACACTCACCTTCTTGGCTCTTAACATAGAACCATCAATATTATGAATAACTAGAAATAACTCCTCTGCATCTAAAAGAAACAGAAACATGAAGATTTACAATTTTGCTCATCTTCATCGATCATTTCACTGTGCTTTGATAATACTATTAGCTTAACATATTACAGAAATGTGACTGAAATGTTTGCACCATACATGAAGATTGAGTGGTGCCGGGCGGGACAGCGTTACAATGAATATGTGTACACTTTCGGATTCCAGAAAGGCATTTAAACCAATCAAAATACAGCAAAATTCTTGTGACGTATTAAAGGCAACAACAATTTTGCAGAGCAAGTTTGACTTTTATTTAGTATTTCTTACAAGTGTTAGGATCGTAAGTTTACCCCTCACAAACACTGTAATTTTACAGGATTTGTCATGTGGCAATAATAGCACAGGGCCTGGGTTACCTGTGCCTTATCCAGCGTTTATTTTTTGAAGCAAGGTAATTTTGATCGTATTCAAATTCGATCAAACTGTTCGTCAAAATTAGCGAAATTTTATACTACTAGTGATTAAAACCATGATTTTCTTCCTACTTGTACCTGTAACAAATGAACTACAACAGAGTATAACTTACTTTTATTATTGCTCAGAGAATGTTTTATGTAATCGCACTGATCTGTCACACTTTTGAACGAGCCGTCATGCATTAAAACCTCCTCTGTTATTAAATTCAGAACCTTTAAAAAAAATTAAAGTGTTTTTTCGTTAAGCATTTAGGTACTATGTTTTCCATAAAATAGCTCCACGGCGCCATTAGGCTGTCTAGTTCATTTTGTTTATATTGCCAATTATGCATCCTTATTTGCTATGGAAATTAGCTTCAGCGACCATATTAGTGATAGTATCACTGTTCAAAAAAACTTTCCCTCAAACATCATGTCTAGCGTTACAAACAGCAAAGACGAAGTTTAAAAAAAACTGTTAGGCTAACAAGTTACAATACAAAGAAAAATGAACAGAAGACTTACGCTTTTAATGGTAAGACTCGGAAAATAGCCATTGACTACAATTTGAAGATATGAGGAAAGTTTTGAGGAACGAAATTGATCAAGAAGAACTCTTTTAGATCCCAAGCCATAGAGAAGAATGTTAAA